TTAAATCATGTGTCAAGTCAAATAAATTGTAATTTATTTTATGCAATATTTTAAAAGGTTTTTTAGGGCGAGTTTCGATGCGAAAGTATCAAGAGTTGTAAGCCTCATAGTACTTGGCATACACACTTAGGGGTCGTTTTAGAATATGGCTTATGCCGGTATAAATTATGCCGGTATAAAAAGTTATGCGGAGATTAGTTACGGTGGGATTGCTGTTTATTCACTGTTTGGTATGTTGTATTAAAAATGCCAATTGCATAATTTCTAAGAAGAAGGTATAAGTTATACCGGTGCTAATTACCCCGCCCTCTATAAGGTATAAGTTATCCCGGTATTAAAATTAACACCGGAATAACTAATATCTGGTTTGCTAACCAAACAGAGTATTAAGGTGGTATTAAATTTTTATACCACCCGTATATCTTCTTATACCTCATACCAAACGACCCCTTAGGAGTTGGACGAGTTTTTTTTCTTGGGATTTTGGCAGGGTATAACAACGTGCTTATATAATTGGCAGAAAAAGCGCTAGTTATAGATATTGGCACCAGGTAGGCAATAAATGTATATCACAAAAAAAATATGTATATCGCAATTTTATATTCTTTCTTTGTGTATATCAAAATATATATTAATTTTTTTTCTTCTTTGTATATCTAAAATATGAAATTACAAATATAGTTATATAAATTTTATTATTGTCTCTGTATCGATGTATATCACAACAAAAATAATTATATTGCTTGTATATCATAGTATATGTTACATCAAACATGTGTATATCAAAATGGATATTACAAGTTTATTTTCCTTCTTTATGTATATCAGAATGCATATCAAAAATTTATTTTCCTTTTTTGTATATTAAAATGTATACCAAAATTTATTTATTCCTCAATTATATTTATCATCTTATATTTTAAAACTTGCCCTTCTTGTCTATATTTTCATTGATGTGGTGCTTATACTTTCCTGAGTCGAGGGTCTATTGGAAACAGTCTCTCTATCGTCACAAGAGAGAGGTAAGGTCTGAGTACACACTACCCTCCTCAGACCCCACAGTGTGGGATATTACTGGGTATGTTATTGTTGTTGTTGATATTTTAAAACTTGCTCTAAACCTGTCATATCAAAAATTCATTTTCTTTCTTTGATCAAGAAAATATTTTAAATAAGTTTATTCGGAATGAATTTCACCCTTTATAAAATTAAATTGGACGATTTAATTCCGATTTAACCTTATATTTCCATATATAACAATGTGTATCACGATATACAGCATGATATACAGGTATACATATATGGTGATATGCATAGATGTACATCACCTCAAACACATATATTCTTTTTTACAATTTAAAATAAAAGAGCAGAAGAAGAATTCTGCCTCTTGAAAAAGAAAGAGAAGAAGAGCGAAACTCATTAGTACGAGAAAATATATTTAAGCTAGGTAAATATCTAATAGGAATATCATAGCCGTCAATCCAACCAAAAAAAAAAAGAGAAGAAGATAGAAGAAGAGAGGAGAAGAAAAGAATCTGATATATGTTTTTCCTCTTTTTTCTTCTTAGTTTTTACTTTTTGGATAGAGATATATCTTTCAGGCATGACATTTGGATGGAAATCCTCAGATTCTCCTATTATCTCTCACTAGTTTTTGGGAATTTGGCTATATATGCCAATTTTTTTGGGCTTAAATTGCTAAATCTAATTCTTGGCTAAAATATTGCCAAAATGTGTTGACTGTTGTCACGATATGCCAAATTCCTTTTTTGTTTGGGGCGCAAGCCCAAAGAACCTCTCCAAGTTAAAATTAAAATTAAAATTGTTATACAAGTCTTTAACTTAATACCATAAGAATAGAAAAGTCACCTTGTTATTAAATTCTGAAAGTTAAAATCTGAAAAGTCAAAAATATTTTTTGTTCTTACCCTAATTTTTATTTTTCGTCTTTGTCTTCTATCAGATAAAGAAAGGGGAAAATAATTAATATATAAACTACAAAGCAAAAAAAAAAAAAAAAAAAAATCATCTTTCATCATTTGCGATGGTTGACGCTTTTGATTGTAAATTTTTTCTTCGCTTTTCTTTCTTTCCAAGTTTTTTTGCTCTTTAAAATTCATTCATAAATTTTTACTCATTTTTTCTTAGAAAAAGGTCAAACCCTCTATTTTTGGATATTTTTTATATTTATCCTTCGTTATACTATCCGACCAAATTTGACTTTATCGAAAGTAGGGGATAATTTTTTTTTTTTTTTTTTTTGCAGATGAAGCAATTTGATTAGTTTTTTTTTGGTAACTAAGACTTTCTATTTACCAGGGAAAAATATTTACAAGTAATACAAAACCCATACATTCCATCATACGCTTCTATGTTCCCCTCCCTCCTTTAACATAAGCATATTCTATCTATTACAAGGGTACCAATTCAGGCTATTCATCCATGCTCCTAAGTATTTGTTGTTTCTACAGTGGACTTCTTGCACAATTTGCTTGCATAATGCTTCCCATCCCCTTGCTTTTGCTTGAAAAATTCTTGCATTTCGTTCTTGCCACACATAATACACTGTTGCAGCTAAAATCATCTTGAACAATTCTGTTTTTGGATTCCTTCATTTGGTTATGTGTGTTGCCCATATCAGCTCTTGATCCCATCCCTGTATTCTCTTATTCATTCCTTGCCAAAATTAACATACTGCTCCATAGTGCTCTTGAGTATTCACACTCAAAAAACAAGTGTTGAATACTTTCTCTTCCTGTTTTGCACAGTACACATTCATCCTCTACTTGCATACCCCATTTCTGTAGTCTATCCTTCGTGTATAACTTGCCATGAGCTGTCAAAGTTAACATGAAGGTCCATCGTGGACAACCTGCATTTTGACACACAACTTTTTTCCAGCTCACCTTTTCAAAGGTTCCACGTAGCCTGTGGTATATTGTTTTGATACTGCATATCTTGGTTCTCTTGACATCTTCATAGTTGAACCTTGCCTTAACAAGTGTGTCCTTTGCTTTAAGTATCTTCCCCACAATCCATGATGCTTGTTTCACCTGCATACCTCATACATCTCTGCCTTTGATGCTATGGATCCACAGGTTATTCTTTTCTCTGCATAGTTCCCAGTAATGTTTGCATATTGCTGCCTTATTCCATAATGCTATATTCATGATGTTAAACCCTCCTGCTGTCTTGGGCATGCAAATCTTCTCCCATGCTAAAAGTGCTTTCTTTGATACATTACTCTCACTTGTCCATAGGAAGCTCCTGCAAATAGACTCTATTAACTTTGTAATCTTTTTGGGCATCACAAAGATTTGTGCCTAGTATGTTTGTACAGCAAATAGGACACTTTTGATAAGTTGTATTCTTCCAGCATAGGACAGGAATCTGGTAGTCCATGATGTTATTCTTCCTACAATCTTCTCAATCAAGGGTTGGCATTGTGCAATGGAAATTCTCTTTGTGCTTAGTGGAACTCCTAGGTATCTCACAGGTAGTTCTCCTTTCTGTATTCCCAGTAAGTTTAGCATCTCATCTTGATTCTCTTGTGTAATTCCTCCATAGAATAAAGAGCTTTTGTTCTTGTTGATCTTCAGCCCAGAGGCTTTTGAGAACTCTTGAAAACCATTGAATATTAGTTGGACAGACTTCAAGTCTCCCCTGCAAAACAATAAAAGGTCATCAGCAAAACCAAGTTGCAAGATTTGCATCTTTGCACACTTGGGATGGTAGTTAAAATCTGGATCCTTGTTGAGCATTTTCAGCCTTCTTGTCAAGTATTCCATTGCAAGCACAAATAAGTAAGGGGATAAAGGGTCCCCTTGTCTTAATCCTCTTTTTGCTTCAAAAGGTCTAGTTTGAACTCCATTAATTAGAATTGTATATGTGACTATCCCTATACAACTCATTATCCACCTAACAAATTGTGCTGGGAATGCTAAGGCATGCATCATTTGTTCCATAAAGTCCCACTCTATTGAATCATATGCTTTCTGCATGTCAAGTTTCATCATGCACCTAGGAGATACTCCTTTCCTCCCATACCCTTTAACCAATCCATGGCTCAATATGATATTATCTGTAATAGCTCTTCCCGGTACAAAGGTTGCATGTGAGTTGTCAACCAAATCATCCATAACACACTGTAGTCTTTTAGTTAGTATCTTGGAAATCACCTTGTAAATCACTGTGCAACATGAGATGGGCCCGAATTCTATTATACTTGTTGGGTTTTTGACTTTAGGAATCAAAGTTATAGCTGTACAGTTCACTGGTTTATAACATTTGTGCAGTCTCAAAGAATTCCACACAGCCAGTGTCACCTTCTTCACCTATACTACCCATGTCTTTTTTGAAAATATGCATTGAACCCATCATATCCAGGAGCTTCAGATCATTAATCTCTTTATATTGCTCTCCTATTTCTTCTTAGTGACCTGTCTGATCAGGTGCATTTGTTGTTCTCTTACTTAAGGTAGTTCCATTTTTGATTACATTAGGATTGAATAGCTGGAATGGATCATCTTTTTAAACCAAATAGTTTCCTGTAGTAACAAGGACTTCTGCCTCTATTTCATCATTAGGACTAACTGCCTTCCATTTCATCTGTTAGCATTTGAATTCCATTTGTACAATTCTGTGCTTCATCTGTGCAAAGAAGTACCTGAATTGGAAGTCTCCCAGTTTCAGCCATTGATCCCTTGATTTCTTTTTGTAGACACTTTCCTCTATCTTCACACCACTTTTCTAATTCCCGCTTCAGTATCTTCTCTTTTTCCCTCAAAAAAAATTTAAAAAACCTCAGTTTCTTGCATTCTATTGCTCATGTCTTCCTGTATTGTTTGCAGCTCTTTCCTTGCCTCCTTGATTTTTCCTTCAAGCCCTTTGTAATGCTTTGCATTTAGATCCTTGACAAGTTACTTAGTTCTCTTTAATTTATGCCAGACTGTTTGCATCTTGCCAGCTTCCCTTCCCTCCTTCCAAGCCATTTCAACTTATTGGATAAAGAGAGGGTGATCAGTAATACAGTTAAAAAATCTGAATGGTCTGCTTCTCTTTGTATGCCCCTGTGTGATCATCAGCTTCAGAGGAAAATGGTCAGATATTAGTGGCTCTAATACCTGAATTTTCAAGCTAGGCATTGTCATCATCCACTCAGTGTTCACCAGCCCCCTGTCTATCCTACTATATGTATGGTTATTTGTCCATGTATATCCCCTTCCCACATACTGTAGTTCACTCATACCTGTATCCATCATATACTCCTTAAAGTCTTTCACTTCCATGTCCTGCACTTCTGATCCATGCTGTCTATGTGTTACATAAAGTACTGCATTGTAATCACCCATTGCAAGCCAGGGACCCTGTTGATTGCTATTAATCTGCCTCAGCTTATCCCACATAGTTCTCTTATCTTTGATGGTATGTAGCCCATATACTGCTGTAAAACCAAGCTTAACTGGCTTTGACTTCATGCTAATCTGCCCATGAATAAGTTGATCATCTATTTCACTGGGATCAAATATGTATATTCTAGGATCCCATACTACCCATATTCTTCCTTTTTGTCCTGTTCTAGCATTAGAAACCCATTCCCGTCCTGGAGCTATCTTTTTGATTATTTTATTGGCTTTCAAGTCTTTAACTCTGTGTTCAACTATAGCTATTACAGCTTTATTATTTATTCTAATAAAACCCTTTACTTCTTTCTGCTTATACGTTTTATTCATAAATTCTAAGTTATAACACTCATACTGGAATGAAATAAGGATAATGATAGTACCCCTGATCTCCTTGGCTACTGTTCTAGCTAGTACCTGCTACTTCACTTCTTTGATCATAAATCAAACTCTGGAAAGCATTAAGTTCATCAATACTGTGAACTTCTTGTTGCTCAGCTGTGGTTGCTCTTGCTGCTGATTTGCCTGCTACTGTGATCCAACCTGCTTCCTTGTTTTGCATTCCATCTCTCCCTTGATCTGGCTCAGTCCTTTGATGTCCTGAGCTTTCTTTTGTCTGATCTTTCTCCTTATTCTCATTTCCTTCTACTTTATCTGCTCTAACCCATATCATTCTACCCTTAGTAGCCTTCTTCTGCTGCATATTTCTTTGTTGTTGCATTGGCTTCCTGTTTTCAGCACAGTCATGATCTATTTTCAAACACTTACTGCAGTATTTAGGTTCCCAGTCATACTCCACCTCCTGCATCATCTCCTTCCCTTTAGGATCCTGTAATTTCACCTGTCTTGCAAGGGGCTTAGTAATATCCATTTCTACTAGTAATCGAGCATATGAGATCCTTACTGCTCCAGTCGTACATTCATCAGCACAAATAGGATTACCTAGGGCACTTCCTATTTTGCTTAATGCAGTCATACTCCACCAATTAATGGGTAAATTGGGCAACTTAACCCATAATGGGATTGTCTTTAGAACTTCATCATGTAGATTGAACTCCTCCGACCATGCCTTCATAATTATTGGTCGATTATTGATTGTATGTGGTCCTGAGTACAAAACTTGGTCCCTTTCCTCAATACTACTGAATCGTATAATGAAATAGTCTTCATTGTGGTAGTAGATCTGAGGTCTCGTTGAGTACTTACCCATTGAATTCACAAATCTGTCCATAGCTCCAATAGAGGGTGATTCACCTATTACGTATATAACAATAGCATTTTTTCATTTTTCAGTCTCCTGTTCTACATCTTCAGCCTCTAGCTTCACCATTTTCTCACCATTTTGCACAATTGGGGAATTGCAGATTCATGCCCTTCATAGCCAATTTGTTCCCAACCACCACATTTGCCCATGTTTTGATCCTAGACATAGTCTGCTTTCCATCATCTTTAGTTTTCTCTACAGTACCTTGATTGCATGGTACTGTTCCATTTGTTTTCTGCTTAGTCCCTTGCTCTTTCCTCCCCGTCTCGTCTCCTTTAGCAGTAACTACCATTGGAGCTGGGGTACTCATTCCTTCCTTCATTTTCCCTTTGTTCCTAGCTAGATCTCCTTCATCTCTGTTTTCTCCAGCTTGCATGTTCTTCGAATTAGATCTTTCCTCTGGTTCTTCAATTCGTAGCCCTTTTGGAGATACAAATAGCTCTAACACAGCATTCCTAGTTGCTGAGGAACGCTGCTCATCCGTTACATTCTTCTGCTGGTTCCGCTTAGGTCTTCCCCTCCCTCCCATGGCTTCCAGGCGCAGGCTAGCTAACTACGTTAACTTGCGCCGAGAGAAACAGTTAGAGGATTGATTAGTTTTTTTTAATCAATTGCTTATTCAAATTAGTGTTTAAGATGAAGCAATTCTATATATATTTCTACCCAGTTTATATTTTCTTGAAATTTTTATAATTTTTATGTAATTCTATCTCCTTTAATATTTATTTTTATCATATTAATTTATAAAATATTAAAAATTAAAGATCCGTGGGCTTATGCTCATTGTTCAGCGCCTTGAGACTTACGCCTCGCCTTGTATCAAGTAAAACACCTCACCTCTTGCCCGCGCCTACTGCTTATTTGTACATAGGAATTAGGATTTCAATCTATTTAACTAACCTTCACTTCCAACTAGGAGTAGCAAACGGGCGTGTCGGGTCGGATATGGTTCGGGTCGAAAACGGGTAATGAAAAATGAATCAATTATTCGACCCGACCCATATTTAATACGGATAAAAAACGGGTTAACTGGCAGATAATATGGGCAACCATATTATCCACGACTTTTGGTAGAATTCTTAGTCTTCCTAAATTGAGGAACCCCCAATTTGAGGCTTTACAAAGTTAGGCCCATTGATTATCCATTGGTTATCCATTTTCTAAATGGATAATATGGTTTTTATCCATATTTGACCCGTTTTTAAAAAGTTCATTATCCAACCCATTTTTTAATGGAATATGGGTGGTTAACTGTTTTCTTTTAACCATTTTGCCACTACTACTTCCAACCAAGAGGTTGTGAGTTCAAGTCACCCCAGGAGCAAGGTGTGGAGTTCTTGGAGGGAAGTATGCCGAGGGTCTATCGAAAACATGCTCTCTACCCTAGGGTAGGGGTACCCTTCCCTGACCCCACTAGTGGATTATACTGGGTTGTTATTGTTGTTGTTGTTGTTGTTGTTATTGCAATCTATTTAACTAACCGAAAAATTAATTTTGATTTAATGTCTTCTCTTTGAATATAACTGAGATAGTTCTACTATTTGTATAATAATACAAGTCAAGCTAATATTTACCTCTGTACCTGGTTAAATGGTATCACGTAAAATGAGGAGAAGAAAGTATTATTTTCAGACATGTTTTTTCTTTCCTTTATTTTTATTATCAGAGAGGCAGGGGGATCTAATGGAGTTTAATTTAAAGTAAACAAAAACCAGAACTAATGCCAATTGAAATACCCTTGCATCACGTAAAGAACAAAGAAAAGTTGAAGTTATAATACTGAAATGCAAAGAGCCCCACAAAATCAACTTTATCCCAAGATCAATTATATATAATTGCTCGAGTAGATTGCAATGCTCATATAAAAAAGATATAACATGAAAAATGTGTAAAAGAACTTCTCGACATACTTGCTTCATTGTAGATATTTTGTTGAATTAATTAGGTCACAAATTTAAAGAAAACTGTCGAGTTTCCAAACAAAATAAAAAAGAATGAAATAAAAGGTTACAAGCATCATGCCTACCTTGTCGTTATTGGTTTTTTTGTGTTTCTTATTTTTTTTCCCCTCTTAGTATGTACTTATGCATGTGTGTCCAAGAGTTAACGCCATTCATGTGTGTGTGTTGCGGGAGGGGGGGGGGGGGGTTTATAAATGCTCGTATTTTTCTTTCTTCTATTTCTTTAGTTTTCTTCCTTTTATCCTCTTTTAAGCTTAAAGCTAATAAAATAAAATATTTAAATATTAGGCACCAAGGAAAGAGCAGTTGATAATTGAGATTGATTTTTCAAACCCATAAATGTACCCAAAATTGAGTACTAATTAACTGGTTCAAAACTTCGCTTCAGGTCGTCGTTTTGAATATTACGCAGCACATTATTACTTTTTCCTTTAATCAAAATTTGGTATTAATAAAAAACAACACCTGGATTTCATTTTCTTGTTGTCCCTAATTATGATCATGAATTAGTGAACCATCCAATAATAGGATTCAGAGATCTCAAATTTCATGGAGATTATTTCGGGTCATGGGTGCAAAAGATAAGAAAGTGTGTTTCATACAGTTGTTTCATTTAGAAATTAAAGCACGCTGTCAAGTGCCAAAGAAGGAGATAAGAGAAGTGGGTGATTTGCCACATTTACCTCAATTTTGCCTTTCATTACACTTTTGGTCCATTCATACATTTATCATTAGCCATTTGACTTGTGTATGCCCTAGTCATTAGTGGCGCTCCAACACAAAATAGGTAGACTCAACGTGTCCAAATTTTTTGAGAAAAATAAAAATTTACCTCTTAAATTTCACTATGACATAAAATTACCCTCAATTAGAGCTTGGTTTAGAAGTCAATGACAAAAATGAGACTTTTTCTTAACAATGGGGGTAATATTATTCCATAAGTCTAATAGCCTGTTTGGCCAAGCTTCTTTTTGGCCAAAAGTGTTTTTTTTTTTTTTGCCAAAAGCACTTTTGGCCAAAAATTGAGGTGTTTGGCCAAGCTTTTGGAAAGAAAAAAAGTGCTTTGGAGGAGAAGCAGAAGCAGTTTTGGAGAAGCAGAAAAAAATAGCTTCTCTTCAAAAGCACTTTTTTGAGAAGCACTTTTGAGAAAAATACACTTAGAAACAATTTTTTAAAGCTTGGCCAAACACTAATTGCTGCTCAGAAGTGCTTTTCAAACTAATTAGCCAAACACAAACTAATTAGTAAACGTGATCTTTTTTCATGTATTATATGAACTTTTATATATTATAGTCACCTCTAACCAGACCTTTTTCTATTTTTAAAATGATTTGTTTTTTCGTTCTATTTTCTTCTGAGGATATCATATTTATGTGTGCGCGCGCTTTCAACAAACATATACATCAGAAGGGGGAGCGTTCTATAATAATAAAATTTATTTTAAAGGATTGACCGGTGAATGCCCTTGAGCTTCCTGGCCACGCTAAAACAAGCTTGCTGTCGTTTCATGCCAACTGTCCATTGGGTTCGTTCCAGCATAAGAAATGTTTATGTAACAATTCGATCCCACATTTTTTGAGTATTTACATTTCAAATTATTACTAATGCTATTATAAGTATTTTATGTTTCAATTTAAGTGACACACTTTCCTTATTAGTCTGTTTTAAAAAGAATGATACATTTTTATATTCCGAAACAATTTAACTATAAAATTTTTATTTTAACAGTTTACCCTTAATGAGAAGCTTTTGTATTCGCACAAATATCATGGGCCCACAAAGCTTTTGCTCCTTAAGCTTTTAGAACCACATATTTTAAAAGTATTCTCTTTTTTTTTAAACTTTGTGCCAAATCAAACTATATCATCTAAATTAAAATAAAAGGAGTAACTATTTGTGATTTGCCTGTGATGAGGAGCGATTCAACATCAAATTGTTAGGTGCACCTCGATCGCATGATCACTATGAGTTATTTCCGTGATAGCGATTGGTGGGCCGCGAAAGCGGAGCTCTGGCCATGGCAATCTTCATGATCGCGATAGACGACGCCTAACGACCTAGGTTTACAAGAATTTGATCCCCGCGATTGTGTGACCTGGTCCACGATAACGATGAAGACTTAGCCACAATATATATATAGAGCAACAGCGAATATCATCAGTAACTAGAAAGAATCATTTGGAAATTGAACCTACTACTTGCTTGTATGTTATACCTTTGGCATTATGTGAATCATTTTATCTCCTAAATTCAAAAGTAAGCTAAAAATTAAAATGAGTAACTGAATGAATTAAGCTAAAATGGAACTGAACAGACATAGGATGCGAATAAATCAGACATTGTTATGAACAATAAAAGAAGAAGAAGAATATTGCCGAGAAAAATAGGGAGAGAGAATTTTTATTGATTTGTGATCAATTACAATGAAATAGAACCCCTCTATTAATAGGGGAAACCTGACTTAGTCACCAAGTAACAAACCCTAAAATCTTTCTAAAATATAGACATTTACCTACATAACACTCCCCCCTGAATGTCTATTCAACAGATAATGTACCTCGTTAAAATCTTAACCAAAGGATTCAAATCGCTTAAAGCATATACAATTCTTGGTCCTGAAGTACCATATCCTAAGTGCAATTTGTGCACATATGTATCTTGCTATAACTATAAGCATGATAATGTGATAGCGAGGATTTTCAAGGTGCAACATATTCATTGGAGTTAATATGGCTATTTATTCATCAAATCTCTGCCGACGTCAACCTTCAAGAAGCTAGTGTACAAGATTGGAATGCGAAGGCTCAAGGATGTGAATTGATGCTCTCATCAGGGGAATTAATACGCCTTGTACTCTTTTTTCACTTACAAGGTTTTGTCCCAATGGATTTTCCTTGCAAGGTTTTTACGAGGCAACCAAAAGGCGTATTGTTAGATATATGTACTCTTTTTCCTTCACTAGAATTTTTTTCCCACTAGTTTTTATTCTATTTGAATTGTTTCTTC